TGTCTGTTGCTATTGCTGTTGTCGTTGTGATTGGTGTTGTTGTCGGTGTTGATGTTGTTGATTTTGTTGGTGTTGTTGATGTTGTTGTTGTTGAGGTTGAGGTGATGTTGTTGTTGTTGGTGTTGAGGTGAAGCTGTCGTTTTTATAGTACCACATGCAAACAACAAAAACAAACAAATACTACTTACATTACTACAACTAATACTCTTACTACTACTACTTTTACTATCACTATTATTACTACCACTACTGCTGCTGTTGCTGCTGCTACTACTACTACACTAACTACTACTACTACACCAACTACTACTACTACTACTACACCAACTACTACTACTACACCAACTACTACTACTACTACTATAACAACTGTTACTATTACTAGATCCAATCTCACGAGCAAACCAGCTGGCAATGGGACTATTTTGTCGCTCTGACACGCGCGCAATAATATCACAAAAACCGGATGCAGTTGTGATGAGGTGGCCAATGGCGAGCGATAGAGCGCCAAAATCGCCTCTGGGTCATTTGAAATTATCAGGAAGGAGATGAAGAATAGGAATTATAATTGCAATTGTTGTGGTGGTCGTGATGATGATGATGATAAAGATGATGATGATGTTGATGATGTTGATGATGTTGATGGTTATGGTAATGATGAGGATTAGTTTTGTGGAGATGTTAATCATGATACAAATACAATACCAGAAAATACAATACTAACGATACAAGGCGATACAAAGCAATATAACAAAATACTCATAGCTCAAAAAGCGTACAACAGCTGATGAAAACAACAATACAATACAAACACAATACAATACAAATACAATACAGGAAAATACAATACTAACGATACAAGACGATACAAAGCAATACAACAAAATACACGCAGTACATACATCATCATAAATGGGCACACGCTTATTATTATTATTATTAGTAGTAGTAGTAGTAGTAGTAGTAGTAGTAGTAGTAGTAGTATTGTTGTTGTTAACTTTTTTCCGTATCAATCAACAAAAAAGTTTCCAATCGTCGGCTGCCATGTGACATAGCGCGAGCGCCCGTTTGCAGCCAACGCGTGCTACATCTCACGCACTTCCGCCGGAAGTGTCTAGCTTCAACTTTGTTCACTTGATTTCCGGTTTATTGTTTCAAAATGGCGGCACATACTGCATGATAGGAAACTTATCGAAATGTCATGTGTGTGTATACGATGTAAGATAGATTATTTATCATGGGTTATTAATGCATTTAACGTGAGAGAGAGAGTGTGTGGTGTGTGTGTTTGTGTGTGTGTTTGTGTGTGTGTGTGTGTGTGTGATTTTTGTGTACATAGGTTAACGTGTTATAATTTATCTTTATTTTTGTATTTTCTCTTATTAGTGTTGCCACGTCTGAGCTGTTGTCTGGGGTTACTAAATGATGATTATGATAATGATGATGATGAGGATGAGGACGATGATAATGAGGACGTCAACGATGACATAGACAATAGTATACACATTGAATATTGACACTTGAGTTGAATTAGACTTTTTGAAGGAAGCATTTCTCGCCAACCGGAATATCTTTTTTATGTATGTATGTATGTATATATGTTTGTCTGTATGTATGTATACGTATGTATGTATGTATGTTTGTATGTATGTATGTATGTTTGTTTGTATGTATGTTTGTATGTATGCATACATACATACCGACATACCGAATTGGCATCGGTTGGATCAATAGAATCGATACTCCCACACAAAAACATTTTTTTCTAATTATTTTTATAACTACTACCGCCATTCTCTGATATAATGCACGATAATAATAGTAATAATAATAATAATAATAACAATAACAATAATAATAATAATAAAATAATAATAAATAATAATAATAACGAAATAATGTTAATCAATAGTTAGATGGCAGAGTAATGATGCAACAACAATATCGGTAAGAATACCGTGCAGTTACAACAACAACAACAACAGCAACTACAACAACAATGCTGATGATAATAATAATAAATAATAATAATAATAATTTTCAAGACGACTATGGTAATAAAAACTTCTCTAGTGCAACTCTGTCGATAGGTTATGGTGAATGACGTCATATCGTCGTCATCAATATTAGCAACAACAATAACAACAATAATAATAATAATAACATTAGTAGTAGTAGTAGTGGTAGTGGTAGTAGTTGTAATAGTAGTAGTGGTAGTAGTAGTAGTAGTAGTATTAACTACAACAAAAATAACAACAACAATAGCAATAGTGATGTTGATGTTATGAACTGTTTGAAAGATGTATAGATTGAATAGTTCTCCAATGTATTTACGTGATGTGAATGTCCGCCATCTTGTTTTTATTGTTGTTGTTGTTGTTGTTGTCTATGTTGTTGAGTGTGACCTTGTTTTTGTAGGTAATTTTGTTGAATTTTTTTGACAACATCATCAACAACACCATCACTTTGATCATCAACAACAACATCATCAACAACAACA